GGAGAGAGGGAGGGTGCAAGAGCGGGCTGGCCGTAGGGTGTCTGGCGAGGAGGGGGGGTGCGGGAATGGACTGGAGGTAGGGTGTCTGGTCAGGGGGGAGAGTGCTGGAAGGGCTTGTAATAGGTTTTCTGACCAGGAAGTTGCTCTGCAGCATGCATCTGGGAGTGTCTTCAGGCTTCTCCCTGCAGGCTCCAACCCCCATTTTTAATAAAAGAAAACAAACTCCTGAGGTGACAACCACTCTCACTGCGAGCCCCTTGCTAAATGTGCACGTGCCCAATGCCATGCAGTGCGTGCCGCATTAGTGCAGGAAGCTTGCTCCAGCATGAACTCACAAGTGCCAAAGGCACCACACCTGGTCCCTGCTCCTAGCCAGAGTGCTGCGGCACACACACTTGCACGCATTAGTCACAAGTGGCTCGGCTGGCTTAGCGCAAGGCCGCATGTGCAGCAATCACCTTTTCCTATTCACGGCCCCGCCCATAGAGAAGGGTGGGACTATAGCCCCTGCTCTTTGACTGGCGCATTACCTCATTCAAACATGCTGACATCAGAGTTCCCTACGCTCCCCCTCGTGGACGCCAGCGTTCCCGTGGCATCTACGACTGCTGGCGTCTGCGGCCTTCCTAGATTTAGGGCAGCTGGTGCAGGAGGTTGAGGTGCTGCTGGCCCACAGGAAAGATGCTGCTCACATGGGACAGGAGGACCATTGTGGGGTGTATTTGCACCACGCCCCCACCCCTGGCCTGTAAATCCAGGACACTTAATTGCTTGATGGGGAAACCAGGACACAGTATTTAAAAATGACTGTCCTGGGAAAAAATGGGATGTATGGTCAGCATACCTATAGCAGCTCCCCCTTGTGGACGCCTACTGCCTACTGCAGAATCTCCCATATGATAGGAATCCCTAGGACTGGAGATGAGAGGTTTTTGGCTAGGCAAAACAAAACAGGAAAGGGCTGAGTTTGGCCTTCTGTTTTAATGGAGGTTCACAAGAAGACAGAGTTAAGGTTGCAGACATAAATAATTCATGGGATTTACTGTTCAGGTTACTTTTTTCTCAGTGGATCATATTGAAAATCTACCTTATTTTGCTGAGTACTTTTAAACCTTTCAGCTGATTGCTACAGAAGTGTATTACTCTAAACTACGATTGAACTCTTGATTCTTGATTGTTATCCGCATTCTGTGTATCCTGATAGCATTTAAATTTTTTAAAATACAAGATAAACATATTTCGATGCTCATGAAAAAGAAGTCCTGTTTGTAAATACCATAGTAATCTGCTCTGTGTATTATGCATGTGCATGGTTCTGCAAAGGTTCCTTTTATACTGGGTATTTGAGGCTTGTTCTGATAATGTCTAAATTACACCTCTTAAACAGTTTAACGCTTGTGCTGCTTACTGTCAAGGTGGATTCAGTAGTTATTTAAAATAACAAACTATATCCTGTCCCATGCATTCCCCATCTTTCAGATGGTATCACTGTTTTAGAATACTGACTGCTATTGTGTACTGGGACTAAGCAACTTAATAGTTCAAGTAAAAGTGTAGCTATCTTTTTCTTCAGCACAACTATTGCTGTTAAAATAATTCTAGTTCTGTTTAGATGGCAAACATTTTAGTATGTCCACAGAAATAACTTGTGCTTAAATTTGCATCTGGGCTTGTTGTACAGCTTTATATTCAACTTTAGCAACATGGTTAGCACTTCTTTGACTAAAAGATTTGCTCATAAAGGTTGCGTTCTGAGCAGAACAAACTGTTAAGCTCTGCTGATTTCTCCATTAAAATGTAACAAGTGTGTTACTTTAAAATAAATGGTGGTGTTTTTTGTTGGGTGAGGTGAGCAATTTTATGCTTCTGCTACCCAGCAATCACAGATTGACCTACTTTTCATCTCATCTGCATTTTTAATATCTGAGAAGCTACAAGTGGTTTGCCTCTGTCTTGCGTCATCCTCATTAAAATGAGTCATAAGACATAATCCTAAAACCAGCATTATGTTTGTATTCACCAACTCTAGAACTATGAATGTTTTCTATGCAGAACACCTTCCCTCTTCTCAGCTGGTCATACAGTTGATCAAAAATGAGGAAATTTGGGCTTAACGTAACTGTCAAAGTTGATTCCAAACTGTTGTGCGCTAGAGATGTTAAATTTAATCAATTGGCCGATGGATTTCCCATTGACTAGTCAAAAAGCAGGGGAATCACAGCGGAGTTAGTGCCCAGCCTGGGAGCTAACCCTGCTTTGGTTCTGCCTTTTAAGTGTATTAAGAGCCCGTTGGGCTCTGCAGTCTCAGGGTGGGGCCAGGGATGAGGGCTTTGGGGTTCTGGAGGGGCTCAAGGTGGGGCAGAGGGTTGGTACTCTCGCTTACTTGGCTGATGGTGAAGAGGGGCCTCTTTTCCTTGGCTGCGGAAGTTCGGTGCTGGTGCTGGCAAGTAGAGGCTCCTTTGACAGCTCCATGCTGGGGGTAGCAGGATGGGGCACCCTGTTACCAGTCTAGGCACCTTCAGTTCAGCTTCATCTCTCCCTGCTGCAGCCCTGTGCCCCTGCATGGAGTTGAATGGGAAGCTGTATAGCTTCAGGCAGGGTTTCCCAACCTATGGGTCGGGACCCAAATATGGGTCGCCATTACATTTCAAAAGGGTTGCCAGGTGTCTCCCCAGGTGGGCCATTCTCATATTTTTTTTAAATTGCCCTGGGTCACCAAGTCTTCCTGAATTGTCAAAATGGGTCCCCATCTGGAAAAGGTTGGGAACTGCTACCTTAAGGGAAACACTAGCTTCCTGGTAATGTGCAGGACAGGCCGTAAAGTTTTCCCACAGTGCACCCTAATAGTAGGGCTAGAGTGGTCACATTTCAGGCTGGGAACAGGGTCCTTGACAGTGGGAATCTAGGATATGATTACTTGACTCAGGTCTGTGCACTGCAGGGTGGTTGCCTGAGCCTTGGACTCAAGCATGGGTTAGAGAAATCTTAACACAGTGTTAAAATATAATGAAGATGCTGAGGTTCCCTAACAGGTCAGCTGGTCAAGTCCCACTAACACTGGTCTTACATTGCATTGTAGGCATACCCTTAGTAACAGCCTTGCTGCTGCAGTAATTGAAGCTGAAGAAAAGAAATAACAGGTTAACTGGGTAGTGAATAATGCAGTCCTTTATCTCCTATTTGGATATTTTTTGGGAAAAAAAATTCTAGCCTTTAACACAGGTTAAATTTAATGGGGTGCTCAACCTTTCTCAGACCAAGGCCTGATCTGTGTCTAAAACACAGACTGTCTAAAACAGTGAAGGAAAACTCCCTTCCTTTGTTGTAGTGTGTACACTATGCAGCTGTACTGCATTTCTAATGTTGACATGCTCTAAATCTTTAATAATAATATGCTGAAAAATGGAAATGCAGCTGGTGGCCAGTATGTCCTATGGTTCCCAACTGTAATACTTATTTAGCTGAAGTTAGGGTTGATGAAATAGAATTTTTTTTTCATTTACATTGGATTTTTTATTTTGTTTACATTACAATGAAATCAGGATTTGATACAAACTATGTTAAAGCCTAAACTACTTATAATAACGTAACACTGAAATAATAAATACAGTAGACTTCCGATAATCTGGCATCTTTGGGACCTAGGTGGTGCTGGATTATTGGATATGCCAGAGTATCGGGAGGTACTCCGGTAGGGGGGCTGTGACAGGTCTGCCGGAACCCGCACTGCATCTGAGGGGTGGGCAGGGAACGGCGAGGCGAGGGGCAAACCCTCCGCCGTCTTGCAGGAAGGTGGGGGAAGCCTCGCGCCACCGCTGAGAGTTTCTGGGAGGGGAGGGGAGCGGGCTCCCCACCCCCCCAGACCGCAGTAGTTATCCCTGAGCAGGGGGGTGAGGGGCGGTGTTGCGGCACCAACCGGGCAGCACCCCAGCTTCCCCAAGTCCGCCGCTCGTCAGTTTCAGCAGTGGCGTACTTGGGGAAGCTGTGGAGCAATTCGCCCCTCGCTGCGCCGTACCCTGCTCCCTGGCCAGACGCAGTGCGGTCCTGGCAGACCCATCACAGGGTATGTATAATCTCCTTCTCCTCTTCTCCCTTTCCCTTTCCAAGCCCATGAGAGCGCATGGGGCTCATAGGAGCTCCAACTGTCTGGCTGGCTGGAGCACTTCTGGGTTCCAGTTGGTGCCAGACTATCGGGAGTGCCGGACCACTGGATGCTGGACAATTGGAGTTTTACTGTATGCTGAATCTGAGTCCCCATCCGTCTTTCTGTATAAAGAGAGATGTTCCTCTGCTTCTAATTTTTGAGGTCAAGCTCTGTAAATATGGCACCATCATGCAATGTTCTGTATTAAGGGCTTGATCTGTGGGAGATGCAGGGGTTGTGCTACAGGGTGCAAAGGACTAGGAAAGATATCACAGGCATTGGGACCAGCCTCTGACTCCAGGAGACCTCATCATGTATCTCCTCATGGGGTAGCAAAAATGATGTTCCAAAACTAGTATAAAGGCTTTATTTAGTTATAAATCACCATATCTTATGGTTATATCATACAATGACAATTCATCTTATTGTAGAAAATAACAGAAGAATAATTGGAATTGATTAAAATCTATTTAAATTGTGGCTTTCCACATGGGGATTTAAATTCTGATTTAACTTAATCTACCCTGACTGAACCAGTGTTAAATTTTCAAAAATTTTACTAGTGTGAACAAAATGAAAGAGCCTTAGTACTAGAGCAAAGAGTAAATTTAGAGATGTGTCCTGGGACCAACATTTATCATGTTTCTAAACAATCGCTTGCAATTATATTAGATGACAATTAGAGCATGCTAATTCAAGTTAAAACACAATCATGAGTTATAGTCTAGACAAACTCCCTCTTGGGACTAGAGCCTGAGGATTGTTGAGTTAGTTGAAAAGAGAGCTATAAAATGTCTAACCTGCCTAAAGTCTGCTGGTGCTATTGTAGCAAATTAAATAATGGGTAAATTAATGTTGCTAATGAATAGTTCACTTTTTACAGATGATTTTTGATCCCACTATGAGCAAGAAGAAGAAGAAAAAGAAGAAGCCCTTCATGCTCGATGAAGAAGGAGGAGACACTCAAACAGAAGAGACACAGTTGACAGAAACTAAAGAAGTGGAGCCAGAACCAACAGAGGACAAAGATATAGAAGCTGATGAAGAGGACAGTAGGAAGAAAGGTATAGTGAAACATTTCAGTTGGCAGTTTCAGAACATAACTTCCAGTTGGAAAAACTTAAGACAATGAATAGTCTAGCAACACCTTAGACTAACAAAATATGTAGATGGTATCAGAGCTCTTGTGGGTACAGCCCGCTTCTTCAGATGACTTCTTCATCTTAATTTACAAGAATTCTGCTTTCAGACACACTCACTCATTTTATTCAGTTAATGTTTAACCAGTTAACTAACTAAACGGGATTTTACATCCCTAGCTCAGAGTAGCCAACTGTGGGGGCCATGTGCCTCTGAACGCCACTGTGGAAGAAGAGGGGAGCGAGGCTCCTGCTGGGACGGATCTGTTGGCTTGGCATGGGGTCCTGCAAACAAACAGATCACTTGGTACTTCAGTCAAGCATTACGTAAACTAACAGGACATGAAAATGATATTTGTCTGTAAAATTAACCTGACTCTTAACACCCAAGATGATTTAAAAGACAGTTTTATCTCTTTTCCACTTTATTTTTTTATGTAGTCAAGTTTCTCTGTTAAAAGCACACATTTCCTTATGGTGTCAGTTTTGCCTTGTGTAGGGAGCAGCAGCAGGGAAGATTTTTAAACTAAATAGGAAAGTATGACTGTATGCTACACGCATATTATTGCAGTAATCTGAAGTATGTGTAGTACTTGTAACTACTAATCTAACGATTTCCCCCCATGGCTAGTTACCCTAGCCTAGATCATACAAATGGGCATACTGGGTCAGACCAAAGGCTATCTAGCCCACAATCCTGTCTTCCAAAAGTGGCCAATGCCCGGTGCCTTGGGGAACAAACGGAACAGGTAATCGTCAAGTGATCATCCCGTTGCCCGTTCCCAGCTTCTGCCAAGTGGAGGCTAGGGACACTGTTCCTGCCCATTCTGGTTCTTTCTTGAACCCTGTTAAAGACTTGACCTTCCCAACATCCTCTAGCAAGGGAGTGGGTGTCCCCTTTAGTCTCTCACAGGTATGTTTTTGAGTATTCATATCTATTCCTTAATACTTAGGGTACATCTGCTCTGCAATTTAAGCCCCAGGCTAGCTGGACTTGATTTAGCTGACCCATATTAAGGAATCTTAGGCTTGAACAGCTCCATTGTATTTTAACCCCATCTTAAGCCTTTGCTAACCAGTGCTCAAACCTAAGGATCTGGCATGTGCACTGAAACATGCAGACCTGAATTATGGTTGCCATATCCCAGAGTCCCTAGCGCGCACGTCCCCCGCCCTCTGAAATATGGCTGCTCTAATTCTAAAACTATAGTGCATTGTGGGAAAACGTGACTTCCTGCCAGCTTGCTCTCCATTGCAAACCCAGGAAGCTCCCTGGTAGTGTGCCTGTAGACGCCAGAGCAGTAAGGAGAGCACTGGGAGGCTTTGGGCCATTCACAAAACCTTTTTTTTTTTTCCAGACCGTGATATGACAGTAATTCTTGTTGCTCTTAACGAGGTACCCCCTGCATTAAGTGTGCTACTGTGTAATCTCCACCCACCATGCAACACAAGAAATAAAGATACTGTTCTTGAGAAATCATGCATTTTTATTTAAGGAACATAAGGCAGAGGGGACAGAAATGGAGTTCAGGGCGGAAGCTTCAGGAGAAGATGAGGGAAAGTGGCATGTCACAACCCCTGTTCAGCAGTCACAGGGCGTGAGGATGATGGCCTTTTTATTCCGGGGACATCGAATAATAGAATACTAGGACTGGAAGGGACACATCCCTGGAGGTTGAGTGTAAGGCTGCCTTTGACTCCTTCCACTCCCCCCACCTCAGGTTCCTACGGCACCTGTGAGAGGAGGCGGCTCTGGAACTTGGTGAGGAGGAAATCCTGGAGTACTAGGACTGGAAGGAACCTTGAGAGGTCATCAGGACAGTCCCCTGCCCTCACAGCAAGACCGAGCACCCTCTAGATCAGCGATTCTCAACCTTTCCCAGATAAGGACCCATTTTGACAATTCAAGAAGACTTGATGACCCAGGGCAATTTAAAAAAATGTGTGAATGGCTCCTTAAGAGCCACCTGGGGAGACACCTGGTGACCCTTTTGAAATGTAATGGCAACCCATGTTTGGGTCCCGACCCATAGGTTGGGAAACCCTGATCTAGATCATCTAACCTGCTCTTAAATATCTCTAGTAATGGAGATTCTGCAACCTCCCTAGGCAATCTTTTTCAGTGTTTAATCACCCTGACAGGAAGTCCTAATGTTCAACTTAAACCTCCCTTGCCACAATTTAAGCCCATTGCTTCTAGTCCTATCATTAGAGGTCAAGGAGAACAAATTTTCTCTTTTCTAAAGGCATGTTATAAGGAGGTGCTTGAAAACTATCATTTCCCCTCTTAGTCTTCTCTCTTTCAATCTAAACAAACCCAGTTCTTCAGTCTTCCCTCATAGGTGATGTTCTCTAGACTTTTAATCCTTTTTATTGCTCTTCTTTGTACCCCCTCCAATTTTCTCCACATCTTTCTTGAAATGTGCCCAGAACTGGACACAATACTCCAATTGCAGCCTCATCAACACAGAGTAGAGCGGAAGACTTTTCATCATCTCATGTCTTACAACATTTCAATTTATGCATCCCAGAATCGTGTTCGTGCTCTTCCCCCTCCCCCCAAAAAAACAGCGTACCACTGTTAAGTCCTATTTAGCTTGTGGTCCACTATGACACCTAGGTCCCTTTCTGCAGTACTCCTTCCTAGACAATCACTTCCCATTCTGTATGTGTGATTGTTCCTTCCTTAGTGGAGTATTTTGCATTTATCCTTATTAAACATTATCCTATTTACTTTAGACCAGTTCTCCAGTTTGTCCATACCATTTTGAATTATAACCCTATCCTCCAAAGTATTTGCAAGCCTATCAGCTTGGTATCATCTGTGAACTTAATAAGCGTACTTTCTGTGCTAATATCTAAATCTTTGAAGATATTGATCAGAACCAGAATCAGTTTTGATACCTGCAGAGCCCCACTTGTTAGACTGGAAGGACATGACTGTGAACCATTAATAACTCTGATACTGGTTATCTAGTCAGTTGTGCATCCACCTTATAGTAGCCACATCTAGGTTATATTTCCCTAGTGTAGTGATAAGGTCATGTGATACCATATCAAATGCTTTACTAAAGTTAGGTATACTGGGTCCACTGCTTTCCCCTTATCCACAACACTTGTTATCCTATCAAAGAAAGCCATCAGATTGGTTTGACATGATTTGGTCTTTACAATCCATGCTGGCTGTTACCGATCACATTATTTTCCAGATGTTTACAGATGGATTCCTTAATTATTTTCTCCATTGTCTTTCCTGGCTCAGAAGTTAAGCGGACTGGCTCATAGTTTTCTGGGTCCCCTTTTTATACATGGGCACTATATTTGCCCTTTTTCCAGTTTTCTGGAATCTCTCCCGACTTCCATGACTTTTCTAAGCTGATAGCTAATGGCTCAGATACCTCCTCTGTCAGCTCCTTGAATATTCTAGGATGCATTTCATCAGGCCATGGGTTTCAGCCAGCTTCCCCTCCTGCCGGCTTCCCTTTAAAAATGTGTCCTGCTTATTGGGTAGTCAACTACTACTTTACATCCTTAATTAGAATTGAAGCTCTAAGTTATAGAACACCAAACACGAAAACAAAAGTATCGTAATTTAAATTTAAATCCAAGATTATAACTGGTCTTTCTTACCAAGCATTTGTAAATTAACTTTTATGTGTTTAAGAAAAGTTGAACAGTTATTTTGATTTTTTTTTTTTCCCCCCTGTATGGTAGTTTTAATAAATTACCAAAATAAGTGGAACTGGTATGATTGTATTGCATTATTTTGACACATTTGTAGAATTTTGGTTTTTTGGTGCAGAAGTCTCCCAGAAGTAAATAAGATTCATACCCAGGGTCCTGGCTTAACTCACGCTCAGACCCTCCAGACCTAAGCGGTCCTAGGACCATGGGTCCAAGCCCTGAGTCAGTGCAACTGCAGTGCAGAGGCTAAGAGGGAAGGGGTTGCAACTAGAGTTCAAGCTCAAGCCCGGGCTATCGTTGACGTATAGATATACCCTTAATGTCTAAACTGGTAACAGTCTTGCTAATCCTGGTCTTTCTTTCAATTTTGTGGAGTTTAGATGCTTCCGATGACCTGGATGACTTAAACTTCTTCAACCAAAAGAAAAAGAAGAAGAAAACAAAAAAGATGTTTGATATAGAGGAAACAGAAGAGGGTATAAAGGTCCGTTTAAAGAGATGACCTAGTTTGTGTAATTAAATCCAGTTGGGCTTACTAGAAATTCCGACTTTCCTCATCCACCTGTGCCATTGTCCTGTGTCCCCATCTCTTCCATTCTTTTAAGATTGTCAGTTCAGGAATTCCAGGGCAGTCTGTCATCCATCCAGAGAGTCACTGTTAAATGATGCATAATTAGACCCGTAATAAATTCACAGCCATTAAAAAAGGCGGACTATGAAATCTGGTCTCTCTCTATGAAATCTGATCTTTTGTGTGTTTTACCCTATACTACACAGATCTCGCAGGGGAGACCAGTAGGGAATGGCTGTAGTTGGTCACATGACCCCATGTTGGCTAAATTGTTTGGCAATCCAGAAGAATAAAAAATTTCCCCATTCTTAAAAATATCAAGGCTAGACTTTTACACCTGCAGTCCTTGATTTGTGTATATGCACCAGAAGGTGCACCTCAGCTCTGCATGCAAAATTGTGGTTAAAAGTCTGGCCCCAAATTCCATCTTGGTACTGTAACTAGCAAGGGAACGTTGGTCATCTGTCTGCTGCATAATCTAGCTTGCTCCTTCAAACGACTGCAAAGGACGTTCTGTCTCATTTCCAGCATGCTATGTTAGGTGTCAGTCGTGTTCTGCCTGATTATTATTTTTTTTTTAATTTGTGTAGGATTTAAAGATTGAAAGTGATGTGCAAGAGGCAGTGGAACCAGAAGATGACCTTGATATCATGCTTGGCAACAAAAAGAAAAAGAAGAAGAATGTAAAGTTTCCAGATGAGGATGAGATGTTGGAAAAGGATGAAGGTAAAAGTACAGCCAACTTACCAAGAGTTCAATTCCTGGCTGGTGTGGCTGTTGAAAGTGGGTAATCTTGCAAATGAAGTATACGTATTGCCTAAATAGGCACAGACTTTTTCCAGGTAAAATGCGATCTTCTTGATTTGGGATGTTTGCTACTATATTTTATAATGGAAAGTAATATCTCAATGGTAGAGCCATATGGTCTTTTTCTATTCTGGTCGTATCAGTACATGTATGGAGGAAAACTTCAGTTCACAACACCCATTTCTTGGGAATCTGGTACACATGCTGTTAGACACAGTGCTAATGCTGTTTCTAGCAGCATTTCCACCTTTTTTTAACAACTTGTGCATCATGAACCTCAGATACCTTTCTTTTTCTACAGCTCTGGAGGATGAAGACAGCAAAAAAGATGACGGAATTACTTTTAGTTTTCATACTGGACCCGCATGGGCAGGGTCAGAAAGGGACTACACGTATGATGAGGTAAAGTTAAAATCTTTTCCAAATATTTCCCAGGTCCAGTGATGCAAATGCTAATACATTTCGTGTCCATGTGTATGTTTCTAACTTAATCCTTAGGTACATGTGATCAAAAAAACACAAAATTGCTTACGTATAAAATAAGAGCCTGATGTGGCACTCAGATGCATCTGGGAAGATACCCGTGCTTCACTGCTGACTTCATTGGTGGTCCACATACACACAAGGATTCGTGTGGATCAAATTATGGGATTTGTCCCCACGTATTAAAAGCTTGCGCACTTAGTTAACTGACTTACATTTTAAGTGTTTTTATATGCAGTGTTGTAGCTTTGTTGGTCCCGGGATATTAGAGACACACAATGTGAGATCTTTGGATCAACTTCTGTTGATAAAAGAAACAAGCTTTTTAGCTTACACAGAGTGTTCTTTGGGTGTGGGAAGTATACTCAGGCTCTCTACACTGCACTTTTGTTGGTAAAACTTTTGTCAAAGGTATGGAAAAATCACATCCGTGAGTGGCCAAAGTTTTACCAGTGAGAAGTGCTGGTGCAGCCAGCGTTTTGTTGGCAAGAGACACTTAGCAGCAAAGCTATCTCTACTTGTTGGAGGGTGGGTTTATTTTGCTGGCAGGAGAGCGGTTATATGTACGGCCTTAAAAGCAGCACAGTTGTAGTGTGCAATGTAGACATAACCGCAGAGTGTCATGGCCAAATAGGGGGTGGAACAGATTGTTTTGAATACAAGTGGTGAACGTCTGTTTCAAAGACCATTCAAGGAAAAGTGGCTTGTTAACACCTGTCCAGTCATGAGGACAGGAGCATGGGAGAGGGAAATCTGGGTTGTGTGAGAGTAGGTTATAGATTGTTGTAAAAAGCCATAAATCAGGGATTGGCAAGATATGGCCGGTGAGCTGAATCAGGCCTGCCAGGCCTTTTGATCCAGCCCGCACCTGCCCCTGCAGGGAGCAGTGCCAAACAAAGCAACTGGCTGCTCCTTGTTGTAGTTAGGCTGTATAGACTAGAGCTGTTGCTTCATTTTTATGAGACTGTAAGTATATGTGTAGCATATTTGTGATGAGGTTTAATTGTAAATATTTTTAAATGAGAAATTTAGTCTTTTATTAATTTAAAAAAAATCCGATTTAAATATTTTTTTTGTAGTTTTTTGTTTTCAATAGTTGGTTTTTTTTTTTTAATCCACCCTGCACATGTTGCTGTAAACATATTTGTTTCTGCAGTTGCTGAATCGAGTATTTAACATAATGCGGGAAAAGAATCCAGACATGGTAGCTGGTGAGAAAAGAAAATTTGTCATGAAACCACCACAGGTTGTAAGAGTAGGAACCAAGAAAACATCATTTGTCAACTTTACAGATATCTGTAAATTGTAAGTTTCGTGGCTTTGAAGACCTGTTAGAGACAGAGAAGGAAATACTGTAGCCTTCCTATTGTACACAGTTAATAATTGCTTCATTGCACGGATTTGTAAAAACTATATTAAATGACCTATTAATCACTAAAAATGATACATGACAGAGGTACTCTATCTCATGGGTACTGAGTAGATTAGGAAAAAATTATCTTCTGCATTTTATGTACAGTCCTACTGTTGATACTTGGGGTGTGACTATCCATTAAGAAAGTTACTGATTTAACAGTATAATTGTAATTGTTTAACTGGTTAACCGTGGAGGGCGGTGGGGACTCCCAGCTGGCGTCTGGCTCCTCCAGCCCGGCCCTCCCTGGGTGTGACGTTGCTCCAGCCACACTGCCGCACTATAGGGCGGAAAGGCACTCTGGGGGGGGAAGGGGGGTGCTGCATTGCTAGGGTTGCTGCTCTGGAAGAGACCAGAAGGGCTTCAGGGGAGAGGGGCCAAGGGCACTGCGGAGGGCTGCTCCAGCCTTTCAGGTAATAGGTTACCAGATAAGCATTAGCCTTAGCAGCATGCTTACAGGGTAACCGACCTTTTACAACCCTTGTTGATGTTTTTGCAATTGATTAACGTTGACTTATTCGATTTGTGATCCGCAATGTGTAGCCCTCAAATCCTTGTCAGGAGTACTACAGCTTAGCTAGTTATTCCCCTTTTTATCATTGTACGTTTGATTTTTTTCCTATCTAGGTTCAGAGCAGTACACCTGACTTTTTATGGAATTTCATCTTGTTGATTTCAGACCAACTCTTGAGTTTGTCCAAATCATCTTGAATCCTATCCTCCAAAACGGTGTTAGTCCGTGCCAGCTTGGCATCATTAATGAAACTATTGAACAGTACAGGATCCAGGACTGATCCCTGTGGGACTCCACTAGATGTGCTGTCCCAGTTTTATGGCAAACCGGATATCTGATCTTTGAGTACGGCCTCTCAACCAATTGTGCACCGACCCTCTAGTACAGGGGTGCCCAAACTTTTTTCAAAGAGGGCCAGATTTGATGAAGTGAACAAGCGTGAGGGCCGACCATTTTGCCCGACATTCTTTGAACCATTAAAATTAAATGCAAATTAACTATTTTATGCAAAGTTTATTGCAAACGGCATACTTTTCATTTCGTCACATGGATGACAAATCTAAACAGGTGTTAAATCACTCTGCCTTTCATATCTGAAGGCCAGATGAAAAAAAAATCCAGGAAGCTGAAATATATGTCAGGAACATTGTAAAGTACATTACATATTATTGGTAATAAAGGTTGTCTGTCAACTTTTAAGTTCAAAAAATATGAACAGGAACATAACACCAAGTATACATGTTGTGTCCAAATATATTTATAACTGATTTAGACCAACTGACATTAACTGAGATTTTACAATGTATTCATCTCAATACATATGGATTCGTTGGGGGCCATAAAAGATAGATATTGCCAAATTACCTGGGGGGCCATATTAAACCGGAACACGGGCCGCAATTGGCCCGCGGGCCGGACTTTGGACATGCCTGCTCTAGTATCTTAATTTATACTGTATTTCCTTAGCTTGCTTAGAATGTCCATGGGACTTTGTCAAAAGCCTAAAAGTTTCTTTCCAAGTATTGAAGGTAGGCTGACGGTTCTAATTCTCATAGCTCTATTCCAGATATGAAAATCATAGCCCTGTTTGTTCCTGCACCTTGTAAACAGGCTTGCTGTTCTGAGAGGTCCTTATAAATTGTTGGGGGTTTTTTTTTTTTTTTTTTAATACCAACTTTTGAAAGGTGGAGGATAAAAATAGCTTTCCTTTCACTTTTAGATTGCATCGTCAGCCAAAACATCTCCTGGCGTTTTTGTTGGCTGAATTGGGCACAAGGTAAGTGGCTTGTACTCAGACCAAAAAGGGGGGAGAGATTTGCCTTAGTCAAGAGTGCTTTGAGTCAGGTCCTCATGTACATAAGTGGGCATGCTTTTATTCCTCTAATGGTGAGAATGGAGATGCTACATGGTAAATAACTCTTTCCTTGCCTTTCAAGAGCATCTATGCTGTGTGGGGTTAAATTGGTCTGGTAGGTACAGGGCAGTTCATACACCATCCATCACAGTATTAAAAACACTATGAATGGATTCTGCATGACTAGTAGTATTACTAGTTTTCAGATTACATAGTGGTGGTTTGCTGACTACAAAAGACAAGCATGGGTTGATTTAAGGACTATTATCTGCAGATACACAGTAGGGATATAAAATCTGATAACCAGTTAAGCCTTGAGTTTATTCTCCCTTTCTTCCCCTTCCCCTGCTGATGATGCAGCCCCGGTTAACAAGTTAACCATTGACATCCCTAATATACAGAGAACTGAATAGCCTAGTTATGAAATGTGTATTCAGGGATCGAGCTCCCTTTATCTCAAACTAATCTTACACTAAAACTTGGTTTGAAAGACCACTGTTAAAATTCTTTCTTTTCTGTATCAGCATGGCTAGAAAATGTGTGTGCTTTTTGCATTTACAACACTATTAGGGCATGTCTAAACTACATCCGTCTTTCGAAAGAGTGATGTAAATTAGGCAGATCGAAAGTGCAAATGAAAAGGGGGATTTAAATATCCCATGCTTCATTTGCATAATCGTGTCACAGCGTTCTTTCGAGAGGATATTTTGAAAGTGAAATCGCCATCTAGACGTGGTTCTTTCGGGGGGGGGAACCCTTTTTCGAAAGACCTCATTTTTTGAGGCATACAGGATCTTTCAAAAGAGGGATGTAGTTTAGATGTAGCCTTACAGACTACGTCCCAACCACGTTGTGGTGGCTGTTTGTCAAATCAGCACAAGTACTACATTCACTTAACCATTGAAGAGCATGACTATATTTTTGGGATTTGTGGGGTGCCAATTAAGTTGTTGTCTTCACAATAATTACTGCATTAAGTTATGTTCAGATGAAGATGGTTCCTGGATCATTATTGAAATCTTTCAGCAGTTTCTTTTGCACAGACAGATTAAATGTTGCTGCTAGATTTGGGCCTAATGCTGTTTAATAAAAGCAATCGTGTGTTTCAGATCTTCTTGTCCTTTCTTTACAACTTATTCTGTGGTTCTGATTTGCACTTTACTGAATTACTTGTTCTTTTAAATGTAGTGGCTCAATAGATGGTAACAACCAACTTGTAATCAAAGGAAGATTCCAACAAAAGCAAATAGAAAATGTTTTGAGAAGATACATCAGTAAGTACTATCAAGTTTCTCTTACTCTTTCTCTTCTCACTATCAAGTTTGTCTTACTAGCATCTCTGTTATCTTTAGATAATTCCTTTTTATCCTTACTCAGGCTACGTCTAGACTACCCTTGGCTTCCGAAAGAAGATACGCAAATTAAGCATGAATTTGCATATCTTCTTCTGATCCCGTTTTTGGCTGTGTTTTTTAGGGGAAAAAGGCAGTTTAAATGGGGTTTTTCGCACAGCCCGCCCCTTTTCGAAAGAACCCTTATTCATAAAAAAATGAGGCTTACAGGGTGTTCTCGAAAGGATTTTTGGGGGGGGGGGGGGCAAAAAAGCCCACCTGGACTGCTTTTTTTCTTTTGAAAAAACCTCTTCCGAAAAAGGAATCGGAAGAAGATATGCAAATTCATGCCTAATTTACATATCTCTTTTTCGGAAGACGAGGGTAGTTTAGACGTAGCCTTAGACTTGTACATTTAAAGTTCTCAGTGTCTTATGCCCATTACAATTCAGTACAATGTCATTTACATGGAAGTAGTTCTGTATTGGAAATTACGCCTGTATTGATTCATATATCTTCTTGTGATACACTTAGGTACCTATCTGCAAATTGTACATGGCGTGGGGGAGAAAAACATAAATGAATAATCTTGGCCCAATGCTGGTCACTTTTTTTTATGTCCTGGATAATCCTACATCGCTGGGGATACTAAAGAATATGTGACCGAGTGTGTTTATAGATTGCTTGTTCCTGAAAGCAATAAAGAAGTTGACTGGAGAGGCATTGGTTTGGCTCTATCCATAGACCAATGATATGGAGTAAAAGCTAGTGAGAATATTGCAGCATTGCTTCCTGCCAGTCTTAGTGACTCACTTGCCTTGGCAAAGGGCTGATGAGGGGTGCTGTAACCCCTCTTGACTAACCGATGTTGTATGTGGTTATTTTACTAATAAAATGCATAGACTACAGTTCTAAGGATGCTTCAGGAGGTAATCTTCCCTAGTTCTATTGTCAATCCTTTCTATGCAGATCTGACTTTTTTTAGCATTGCCTCTCTAAGAAATGATAAGTTCTGGAAATGCTGCCTCAGCCTGAAATGTATCAATTTCAGGTTTCAGGCATCTGCAGCTAGTAAAAGATTTTAATTGGAACCACTTTTTATAGCATTGGTGTGAGCGCTCAAGGCAGGCAAAACATGACCAGTAGCTTACTAACCGCATGTAACTTGTAGGACATGCCTCAGCTGCTGCAAAAGCTTGGTAAAGCTATCATGTTTTAAGACTCAGGTAGCATTTCCTGGTGGATAGATGCCTTTTCTAGTGATGTCTTAATGCAATACCTTTCAATTACAACTTCATTTCTTTTCTCCAGAGGAGTATGTTACTTGTCATACATGTCGGTCACCGGACACAATCCTGCAGAAAGACACCAGATTATACTTCTTGCAGTGTGAGACCTGCCATTCTCGCTGCTCCGTTGCCAGCATCAAAACTGGTTTTCAGGCTGTCACAGGCAAGAGAGCACAGCTCCGTGCCAAAGCTAACTAGTTTGCTAATCGACACTGGATTTTGCAAAGTGTTCTGGGGAGATATGACTGGACAGGTTTACAATCGGCGTGGATTTACCATTGTATTAAACAAGGTTGTAAGAGCTACCAAGATATTTGGCTTTTGATTGATTGGTCTGTGAAATCCTTGCAAGATGCAGATCCTGAAGCTGTTCACATACATTTGCTCATTGAATATATTTTACCAACTATCAGAGAAATATGATGGGAAAGGAGGTGCTTTTTAATCCATTCATAGACTTCTGTACAATGCAAGATAAATTAAAGTTATTCTAACAGTGACTCTTTCATTTGAATTTTTCCTCCAGTTTTTCTAAGTTGTATCTGACAGTTGCCATGAACACGATTTTTACTATGACTACATGCAGGCTATGTTAATTAATTATGTCCAAAGAACAGGATAAGACTTCAGCACACACTTCAGAAGTGTATTTTTCCTCTGGAAAGCTCCTTTTAGGGAGCCTGTAGCTAGAACAGACAAAGCAGTTGTTATATAAAAGGCATACTGGCTAAGATTCCGAATGGCGAGAATAGTCCTGTCCATGTGAAAACTGCCCTTTTTTAAAACATGTAAGGATGCCTGGTTCCTTTCCCTTACTACTCCTGTACTCTCCTCCTTTGCTATTATGAGAACTGGCTTATGAAGTGATGAGCTGTTCAGTATCACTTCCCTTAATGTTCTTGCCAGCTATTAAGGGCACTTTATCTGTTAATGCAGCTGAACAGTTTGGTGCAACTTATTAAGGAGAAAATGCAACCCCTTAAGCAGTTCAGAAGATCGGTCCTGAATGTCCTGTTGATACTGAATGTACACATAGTGAGTTGGTGAGCTATTGTAAACATGCACAGTGTCACTGTACTAAATTCATAAATACGTTCATTTCTCTCTCGTCTCACTTAGTTCTCTACTTTGCACCACTTGAAATGACTAATCAAGTTAAATGAAAAGGATATTGGTAACATATTGCACACTGGATCCAAGGCAATGAAAATGTAAAAATAATGCCTGCTAGCATCAAATTTTAATTCAAGATATTTTTTGGGTTCCAGGCTTAATGTACAAACACTGTGTGTACTGTAAAACATGCATCTTTCTCCACTAGCAAAAGGTGGTGTGTTTTTGTTTTTTTTTTTGAAGGGAACTCTGGCACTGATTTGAAAAAAGCCACACAGCCTCTGAACTTAGTGTAGGTCCTACACACATCTGTGTGCTCTTATCCTCATGTCTGGTTCGTGCAGTGAATGTTGTTGTCTCCAGTTTTCTTGCCTGGGAATCTAGTTAACTGTTACCATTCCCTAGGAATGGGATTGGGGGTAGAACGGGGGTGGAGAGAGGCATGCTTGCCATTATAGTACTGTCAAACCTAAAAAACCTTGTGTCTATTCAAATAACTGACCTCTAAAATTGAAGTGCTGTGCCAATTGAGGGAGAAATTCAGCAGCAGGCTGGTGGCTTGATGGGAGTTGAATGGCTTCCCTGCATGTAACCCTAGTATCCACTCACCTAGTAAATAAAGCGAGGATGAGGGTATTATTGGCTCATTTTAAGGCTGCAATTGAAGGGTTTCAGTTCTGAGTGTGTTAATCTGTGTGTGTATATACTAATATACAATCCAGTTTTGCTGGTAAACCATTTTTATTTGCTATTTGAAAACTACTTGACAATACAGTGCGGTTAAAGTCAAGGTTTTATAGCTGGTTTCTTAAAAGCCTTTTGAATTTGAAGAGTGAGCTGTAACAAATGTTGGCTGTGTCTTTAAGTGAATAAAACCAGGATCAGTGCCTCTTGTGTAACATAAGTATTGTATTGTTTTCTTTAACAAATAGTAGAGTGGCCGACAAATTGTAATGCTTTAAACAAGCATGTTCCACCTGTAGTTCCTCAATATGGATGTTTAAAATATTGTGTTAGTACTGAAATGATCAGTCAATTACGTTATCACTCAATTGTCGGCATGCTTTCTTCGTGTGATACTGTCCATTGAGTCTCTGGGGAAAAATTCAGAGGCGCTAAGCTACTGTCACTTTTTTTTTTCCTGGCACTGCCCTCCCGTCTTGTCTTGGTCCATTTTACAGTCCCTTAGGCTGAATGCCTCCCTGCTCCCTTCTGATCTCGTGTGGGCAAGAGTTTCTTAAACTGGGATATGTGCATGTTGCACA